ACTCGCGCGCCGTAGGTGGTGCACCAATTTCCCCCGGTCTCGCGACGAGCCCCGGGAAACTAAGTATCGATTGTCCGGCACTGGCCGTGAATCGCCCAGCGTCTATCGCGGACCGAATTTCAATGAAAATATCAGGTTTCCTTTGCTGCTCCCCTTATCTATAGGAGAAACAAGCGTTTCCGCTGGGAGCATTCAACGCCGATGTAAGCCGATGTACTTGGTCGCACGTGTTTAAGGAAACTTAATCTTTCAAAAGGAATACGTGAAATTGTTATTATCCGAGGAAAAGAAGTACGCTTAGGTGCTCGTTAGAAACAAATTATTTTAGTGAATAAATAGTACGCGAGTATCGCGAATCTCCTGTTCTCATGGATTGTTTGATGAAAAATTGAAATTCTGTATGGTAAATCGTGATTACGCGATGCAATTATAGAGCAGACTGCGTTCACGGAGTCTTCCATTGGATGCGATTAAATGCATTTTCGGCGAAGTATATAGAAAAGCAAGGATTGAAAGAAACGGCTGGATACCGACGACGATTCCGCTCGCCGTCCATTGTTGACCGGTCGAGCGAACGGTCGTCATTCGCTAATTTTCCAGGATCCGTTGTTTGTCCTTCTGTTTTGCATAGCGTTATGCAATCTCGTCAAGGCGGAAAATAACGACCGGGCGGTTGGCACCGCGAGAAACAGTCCAGCTGCGCCTCGGACAAAGATCGGATCGGCGAAAGAGGATACGGGGGAAAAAAATGCGACGAGCTTTCCAAGGTAATTCACCTCGCGAGTTCGAGCGTGCACATTCACGGAGATGCAACGGGCATTACGCATTCGGCCGACGTTCCTTCCGGGAAAAAGGTAGGAAAGAAGAGGAAAAAGGAGAGAACAGAGGAAAAAAGAACAGAAGCGGCTACGAGGAGCGGTTTTATTCGTGGCTGACCCGTCCTCGTGACCCGTTTCATGGATCTATGCTCGGCCTACGTGCGGACACTTCGAATTTTCGTATTATACGATTATTCCGTGTCTGACCGGGTCAAAGAGAGACGGAGAGGCAGACGGAGAGAGAAAGAAGGAGCGAGAGGTTTAAAACGCATTAAGGTACGTTTATAGCGGAGCTGTGATAATCGATCAGAGCTGCGATGAGAGCGAACCGAGGAAATACGTAATTTTGCTTGAAACGAAAGCGTCTACGTTCAGCATTCAGCTGCGTACAGTTACTTAATCAACGATACAGGCGTTGAGAATTCCGTTTCTTTACTCTAGTTTCGTCGCGATACTTTATCTCGATAGTGGACATAGGAGAGCTGAGTTGATACTGTAGTACTAAGTTGATTAAGTAATCAACTAACTAAGTTGTTAACTCAGTAATCAAGTAACTAAGTTGATTAACTGAGTAATCAAGTAACTAAGTTGATAACTTAGTTGATAATAGTGTAATGCAAACATTGTAACGCGAAATGAGTAATAATTGTCCCTGCTTTTCTTTGCTGCAAAAGAAAAACTGGGAAACGCTTAAGATTTTCGTGGTTAAATTTCGTGTATTAAATTTCTAGTTCTAATATTAAATAAAACGGAAAATGTTCTAAATAATGAGACGTGATATATAATGAAGTATATATAATAAATAAATATATTACGATATATGATTTCATACAGCATATTTCCTTCGCGATTTAATTTTGTTCGCGCAGCTCGAGAATAAAGCGCGCGTAACCGGCGAGATATTCCCGCGCGCGCGCGATTTGAATCGTTTCGAATATGCACATGCGCACATAGCGTGCGTTGCTCGGCCGGCTAGCGCGTAATATTATACAATATTCTCGTTACGATAATCACTTCCGACACGTTAGTTACACATCGGTTCGCGAGGCAACGACTGGTAGACCAGCTTTACCGCAATTTCCACGGACCGACGAATTATCGCAATTATTTTCAAAAGCGTTCCGTTCGGAACACGTGTGCGCCTTTTCGAGGAACAAAACCATTCGTTACTGTTACCTAAGAATTGTATCCTAGGCGAGGGTTCTTTTATTTCGATGACTATAAGCTAGTGTAAGTTTCCGAGTACGTAACATTCGGTACACCTTATATAAGATATCTAAATAACCGTTGCCAATGGTAACCGATTGGATTATAGTACGACCGGGACAAATCATTTGGGCCCAAGGGCACGAGATAAACTGGTTACGTGATTTTTCGACTATCTGTATAAATCTGATGATTTTTCACGAGAATTACCGAATAAATAAGTGAGGAAACGGAAAAGTCATTGAAAGGTGACGGTGAATAAGAACAACTAGTTGATTGCTCCCCCCCGGTTAATAGGTTAAGTCAGCGTTGGTCGACAGAAGCCAAATTGGATTCGATTTCGCGTGCCCTCGGCACAAACTAGCACAGCAAGATCCGAATCTTGCTCGCCTTTTGTTGATACAATCAAACGGAAACATCGTACAAAACAATTGTTACGCACACGTGTACACTGGCATACCTGTTCGACTGCTGCCTGCTGAACTTCCGCGCAGTAGGTTACATTTCACACTGCCACCGGATTTGCAATCCAAATTAACGAGGTATGTTAATCACGGCGAACGTACACCAACAATATAGACTTTCAACAAATCGAAAATATTGCACATCACGACAGGACACTCCCGGGCAACGGACTGTAATGCGTCAATTTCAAACTTGTAACGGACGTCCAAACTACGCAGGCGCACGCGCACGTTTTCGTTTCATCTGAAAATATCGATAAATCGTAAACGATTAATAGAAATTCATGGAAACGCCCTTTTACTGGGGAGTATAACGGTATCGTTTAGCGTATAATACTTTGAGTCATACAGTTCTTTATCAAATGGTAACTTGTTTAAACAATTAATGGAGATTGCCATCCGTTTATACGTTTAGACGTTCACACATTTATAAAGCAAAATTTCGGATACCTATTTACCATTGTCGGAGCTACTAATTAATACAAGATAAAAAGGTAACACAGTTCAAATTAATAATGTAACTACTTTACATCTGATAAAAGTATACTAACCGTTACCCACGAGCCTCTGTTCCCCAGGATGGTAAACAGGAAACTACAAAAGGTGTGACTTTGTGTTTCCGAATATGCGCGAACATGCCGTGACCTTACAGGTGACACCGTATTTGCTATTGATTTCACGTATGAAATTCTAAATTGTTTATTTACCTAGCCGCGACCCTTCTGACCATTGCAGACGCATCGTAGACTAACACTTTGCCACGTCACCCGAATTCGTAACACTATTTCTCACAGAAACTTGACCGTTAATTATCTTGATGACGTACCGAACAAACGGAATTATGTTGGATACACGAGATACAAGAAAAATAGTAGAGTAATTATCAGGAAGAATCTTGACCTCTCAGTTTCTGGTTAACGAAGGAAACTGTTCCGAGTATCACGTGACATAGTGCTAAATGTATACCCTCGATTTATGAGTGTTTAACCGAACTAATTTGTGCAGCGTCGATAACAACGATTTGTACCTAGCTTCCCTGCCACGCGCCAGGACTCTTACTTCGTTAGCTGTAGGGTGGCGCTTCATCGATCTGTCTTCGATCTATTTGAACGTGGTTTTTCTCGAGATGAATCGCGTTCGTTTTATTACTGTATCGCGCGTGAAACGTGCTAAAACGTTAATCCTAGAAGAATGTCGGCGGCTAGAACGAGCACCTTCGAACGCATCAGGAATCCGCTCGTTTCTACGGAAAGTATCGGTAACCATGAATCGTTGACGTCGAATAATATCAGCAAGCACGAATTCGGCAATTTCCAGGACACCGGCGACTGGATAGAATGCGAATCCACGAGCTACCCGGGGAATACGTACTTTTTTAACCTGAGAACACGTTGCAGTACGTGGATAAGACCAGTCGGCCGTAACGTGACACTTCAACGTTTCCGTAAACATCCTGTAAGTAAACACAGTGCTCTTGAAAAAGAGCTGTTCTTCATGCATAACTCATCTGCTAGGCTAGATTGTTTATTGTTTTATATGCGAGATAAATACATAGATATCTATTTCATTAGCCCTCGAGTACCTTAATTGCTTTTTAATTAACGAACACGTCCTAATAGCAAAAATATTGTTTTAAAATCTTCTTCAAAGCCACAGTTTTTGATACGAATAAAATACTAGTAAATGTACATATGTTTAAGAAATGAGAAAGTATCAACTAAATGCTCTATAGATGGTATTGATAGAAATATTGAACGATATTTAATCAACGATAATTTAATCGGCCATTGCGTCCCTTAATCGCTAAAACGAAGCTGTGTTTCTGCAGAGGGTATACGATAAGAATTTCACGCGTGAACTAGACAACGCGACGATGATCGTGTCATCGGAAAGCGAAGAGGATTACCATTCCTCACAAAACAAACGTTCCAGGTCACCGTCGATCACGAATAGCCCCAGGTTTCGAAGAGCTCGCGAGAAGATATTCGCGTTGCTCTATTGCAACGCCGACATAGGCGATTGCCTCAACGACAGCGACAATAATAATGTCGACGATTTCGTCCCTGACACTCTCAAGGACCTCCGTCACGAGCAGGACAGGTCTCCAGAGTATTACGAGGTCTCCGGGCATTTCTTAACGAACGACAACGACCACGACAAGATTCGAATTTCGAAGGATTGCCTGCGCCCGAGTTCGCCGGCGAAAATGGTCTGCGAGATGAACGGAGTGAAAACGATTAGTTTCGAGCCCGGCGAGATGGAACTGCCGCCCGGCGTAAAGAGGACGAACCTCAGCGACAGCAGCGTGACCTCCTCTTCGACGGGGGGCACGCTGAGACCCTCCGTGCCGAATAAATTCGAGTTCGCTAACCTAGGCACAGGAGTGCAAAACCTCTCGAGCGACTCGAGCTCGAGCTGCAGTTGCTCCACGTGCACGTCCTCGGGAACCAGCGGATCTTCGAGCACCTCCAGCGGCTCCAAGAGAGAGGAATAATTCCAACGCTCGCATTAGTTATTATATTTCAAAAAGATACTGACAAAGGTCAATCGAGTCGACTGTTTATGTTTTTAATATGAAAGATTCTTCAGATTTCCACGCAACTGGCACGGCAGTTTCCTTTCTTTAATTACGCCAGTCAGCAACTTGGCTTTTTTTTTTAAACATTGACATTTTTGAGGTTTGAGTTTTTATGGAATTCGATACTCTTTTTTTCACCGTAGACCCAACGCTGTTGGAGTCGTGAGAGTCTAAGTTTTATACTTGAACGGGCTTCGCTGCAACGACAGCGTGTAACGGTTTTTTATGTTCGATGACAATTGAGGATGCACACGTGGCAGAGACGAGATTGAGTTTTTATTCAGGATGAGACGGTGAAATTAAGGAAAACCTCGAATTAACGGGGTGCGAAGGAACGTCTGGTGTCCGCCGGTGAATACGCGCGATCGGCGAAGCGTGTGAAACCAGTTTCGTTGGTTCTTTTTTTTCCTTTTGCTTCATCAAACCGGCTTATTTAAATAAATACCGTCGGTCATTCGTCTTTCGAGACAAACGAAATTCATCCGTTGCCTGTGCGAAACACGTAGGTACTACACACCGCTTCCAGGCATTATTGGTACTTTACAGGCAGGCTCAGTAAGGTAGGAGTGCCAGGCGGAGGGCATTCAGTGGGTACAGGTGCAACGGTGCGCCTTTAAAGCCGAGTTTCCACGCGTCTAACCGTTGTTGAATTCCGTAGGGAAATAAAGAAACTTGCACAATGCATCTTGAAAAGTTCAAAGATTTTTTTACTAGCTCCATGCCAGCTTGTACGTGTCTCCGCCTTCGTAGACTGCCCCGGGAAACCGTAATTAAATATGAACATGATTCTACAGAATTTATTTCTTCTATTATAGAGAAGTTACTGTAACTGAACGTAAGTTTCAAGTGTGTATCTTCACACGTTCGCTACTAGCGCTTATTTCGGTCCCCTCAATTATATTCTCTTCAATCCAATCTAAACAAAATATTAAATCAAACTGAAACAAGTCATTGAGTTTCTAAATATAATGTAGTTTATCATTTCTAATAACAATATCTATTCATCTCATTTCCATTATAAAATATAAGATTACAACCGTCAAATATGTGACGCTAGTAGCGAACGTGTTGAATTACATTCAAATATTCGATTGAATTCAAACATATTCACTTGGTTGCAGCGTTCCAATGGATGCGATAGAATACCTGGAACGCACAGAAGACTGAAGTAAGCTTGGATTATCTACAATCCACTGGAACACCGAAATAAAGTTACAATTCGGTGGTAAAAATCCGACGACACAGGTTCCTCGATTGATCCATGAATTAAGAGCAAGATTAACCGACGATAATTCTAACCGATCCCGTCACGCGATAACCACAGGACTGGTGGGGGCGGAGTTCGTTAGATAGCGGAAGAACGAACGGACCTAGCCACCTTTCTGCATTTCGATTTCCTCGGGGCAAACGATGCCGGCAAAAATCACGGCCGGTTTCTCGGCACCGGCATATGGCAGACGTTACCTCAGGACGCAGCCGGTGCACCGTACCGCGACTATTATCCGCGTCGCCATTAACGAATCACACAGCGCTCAAAGCGTAACGGCCACGGAGGACGAAGCCGGAACTACCGGCGTGGAATTTGTCTTCGTCGCCTGGCACCCGATGGAGGCTGCATCTTCTTGTCCGAGGAGGAGGAGGAGGAGGGTACTGGCCGCGCGTTGAACGGTCCTACGTAACTGCGTATGCAACATCGATTAATCGCGCGAGCGGTTTGTTATTGTCGTTGAGGACATTGGCCAAACGCGACGCGGCAGCACTACTATTCGCTGCTTAAAGCGTACCCAGGATCAAGGATGCGGAACGGGCCGAGAGACGGTGAACTCGCGCGTCGTGTACCGATGGAATATTAAGACGTAACATATTGGAAAGCTTTAGGATGGATTTAGTGGATTGTCCTGCGAATTTTCCTACCGAATGATGGCAATCAATGATGGGTTTATCTTGTAGTATTGAGACAATCACAACTGGTATATGAACTATTGAGATTTCTTTAAACGTAAGCTTATCATTGCTGGATATCAGTATCAGTGAGTCTATAGACCCCTAATGCTACAGTGGTACAGTTATGAATAAATGATATGGTATGTAAACCAGTAGCGTTCGATTCAATCGTATGTTTCTGAAATAAAGGAATATAATAGAAACGGTTTGGAAGGGTCTAAGAAAATATCAAACGTACACGATGAAAAGAGCACGGCGGTGGTAGTGAGATTATTCGTATACCTTTTACATGCTCGTTATTGGCGACGTAATTTCAACGTGTAACGAGTCTCAAGGGGTCCCCGAACACGGCCAGGTAGATAGAGATCGACGCGCTGGCCGTGAACTTTGCACCGTGAGAAGACTTTTCTTTGCTTAACAAGTCGCGCATCGAAGTTCCCGCGCTTGCGAACAATGAATCCTTCCTTCTAGGCGGTGAACAACCGTGGTCGTTTCCAGGATTCATAATGGGAAGGGAAGTGGTGTGGTTTTGCAATCTCTTGCCGCGGCCTTCCACGGGGTTCAGGCTTAAACACCTTGTCGGCGAACACGCTGGAACAAATTGACACGTTGACTGTTATGATGTTTGTAAATGGATGTCGTAATGTTTAATTAATATCTATAAAATTCGTTTTCTCATTGAGATATCAAATGGAAATTGTTCTCTGTAGTCTGGAAAAGGGGAGGTTCAAACGATTCGAGAATGTAATTAAAGAGAGAGATGGAAAAACGTATAAACTTTGCATATAATACTCATTAATAGTGGTGGAATTAATTACCTAGCCGACACACGGGTTAATTATTTCGGGGCGAGAATAGTGAGACATTCTTTATTGCTTACAGAAGAATTTATGATAATATGTGTTTTGAAGTTGCTCATGGGAACATTAGTAACAGTGAATATATTATCTGTACATTGTATTCTTTTTTACATTCGCGTCTTAATTATTCAAGTGAACGAATTTTCTTGGATAGTAGTAATAGCGAAATATCGAATTTGTTACACACAACGCATTAAATTTAACAAATAAATGATAATAAAGTATCTGAATAAGATATTTTATACAGATGAGAAGATATAAAAATATATAAAACTGATTTCTCCGGGCGATTAAGTAATTACTAAAGAAATTCGCTAAATTATACTAAGAAAAATAGTATAACAGTGGTTTTCATTGTGTTGAAGGTATCTGATTATGCTTAGCCGCGCGTGATGACAACTTCACAGTAGTCTAACTGTGTAAATACACGTGATAGGAAACTTAACCTCAAATCAACGCAAAAACCATGGGGCGTCGAAAAAAGGTTTGTATTTTCTTTATATTTCTATAAATTACAAAACTTGTTACAATCATAAATGAAATGAGTGTACCAAAAACTGTCTTCCTTCTAAATGTGAACATTATGTAGGGTCGTTGTGTAAAAAAAAATAAACAAATTAATCTGGAAGAAAATCCAGATGTAGTGAAAGCACCTCATTCGTTTGTTATTCATCGTGGTTTACCTGGAGAGCATATCACAGAACTTACTAAAGATTTCCGTAAAATTATGGAACCATTTACAGCATTAACATTAAAGGAAAGAAAACGAAATACAATTAAAGATTTTGTATCTATTGCCAGTGTGCTCCATGTTACACATATGTGTATTTTCACGAGGACAGAGCAATCAATGTATTTTAAGTTATGCAGGTATGAGTACAATTAATATTTTACACTTCTATCGAGTATCAATATAGAATAATTGAGTGCTTAAAGGATAAGTACATTGTAGATTGCCGAGAGGACCTACGCTTTCATTCAAAATACATAGCTTCTCTTTAGCTCGTGATGTGGTATCTATGTTAAAAAAGCAAATGGTATTCGAAGAATTATTTAAACATTCTCCACTTGTAGTATTAAACAATTTCAGTGGAGAAGGTATGCAATTAAAGCTTATTGCTTCTATGTTTCAAAACATGTTTCCTACAATAAATCTAACTAATGTGAGTACCAAAATTACCTATGAAGTAGGTGCATTATATATGGCACTTAATATTATAAAAACATATTTTTCAACACTTCATTTTAGGTAAATTTAAATACAATACGTAGGTGTTTGTGTTTAAATTATAATGAAACATCAAAAACGATTGATCTTAGGCATTATGCTATTAGAGTTGTGCCTGTTGGTTTATCAAAAGGTGTTAAGAAAATAGTACAAGCTAAAGTACCAAATTTATCAAAGTGTAGTGATTTTTCTGAATTTTTAACAAAAGAAACTGTCTCTGAAAGCGAAGCAGAAAATGACCCTGCAAATGAGATCACATTACCACAGACATTATCTTCACGTGGTAATTATGCAAGTAGTAAAAGTGCAATTAGATTATCTGAATTAGGACCTAGATTAACATTAGAGGTTAGTGATCTTTCTCTGTTCAAGATTAAACATTGATTAGTAGTTAGTATCTATGGTAAAAATCGTTTTAGTTAATAAAAATTGAAGATGGACTTCTGGATGGCGAAGTACTTTTCCATGAATATGTTCATAAATCAGAAGAAGAAAAATTACAAATAAAGAAAAAACGAGAAGAGAGGAAAAAATTGAAGGAAAAAAGAAAGAAGATACAGGAACGAAATAAAAAACGGAAGGAAATAGAGAAAGAGGAACATAAAGAAAAATCTCTGAAGGGGATACAGAAAAAGAAAGAAAGCGAAATATTATTACAAAAAATTGCGAAAGAATCGGTCGCAGAGAATGTTGTGGAAGAAGATGATGATGCACAATATTACCGTGATGAAGTAGGAGAAGAACCCGACAAAGGTATTTGCAACCTTTTAATTTTCAATTAATAGGATTTACTAAGGAGTTCTAATTAGTATATTTTTTAATACAGATCTTTTTGAAAGAAAAGTTGGCGAAAAAAGACCCAAAAAATTTACACCTAAATACAAAACAAAAAAACTAAAACTAAGTCAAACGTGAACATTTGAATAAGATAATAAATCGTAAAGGTGATATGAAATACATAAAATAATCTTGTACATTTCATAGTAATATTCCGAATAAAATATTTTTTAATAAAAATAATTTTATATGATTATAAAAAGTATATAATTTTTATTTATTATTTATTAACCATATAATTAAGTCAATAGTTCTCAAGTAAAATCCTTATTATGAATCACAGTACTAATATTGAATTACTTACAAATGTCCGATATATGTATACTGATTATTTACATTATTTAGAATAAATACATGAACGTATGGTACAAATTAGGCTACAGAAATTTATGCAAATATAAGTTTTCATAGATTCATTTATGTATGAAAATTAAGGGGTGTCCTCTCTCCACCTTTTTCAACATTTAACTCGACAAAAAATAAAATAAAAACTTTAATGAAGTTCTTACTTTAGTATGTTGTGCAGATCCATCTATTTTATATATGCATAAAGTCCTAAGCCTAACCACGTAGTAAACTAGTTTCCCGGTTCTGTTTAAAGTGCCAGTTAATTGCACGTTGTAGCGTATATACATATAAACATCTTATGTTCTTTTAAAAATACTGTCGCATGGAAATGGAACGGTTTCCATCGTCCTAGTTTTAAAATGATATAATGTAATCGAATATAATGAATTACTAGAATATCTCTTTAACGGTGGTTTAAATGGTCAACGAGCAACGGATTCTTGCGTTCTCTCTAATTCTTTGAATCTATTTATCTCTGTCTCCAGTTCCTTAATGCGCCGAGCTCGGGAACGGCACAGATCTTTCAGCAGTGCGTTCTGTTTCTCCAGTTTTTGTATTCTCACGTTATCCTGTGTAAATAAAACATAAGAAACGTATATATCACAAATTCAAAAAGAAATTAGAACAGTAGGAGTATTATAGCTTCAACTAACCTCGACAACGCCGCTGTTACTGCCACAGAAACGTACAAAATTGCTAGGTATCGTCTGACAACCCTGATCTTTCCTATTAACACGCCAACGTCTACAAATATCGCATTCCCACGCGTTGACATCGTTCACGGTCCTTTGAAGTTTCATTATTTCCAAGTTCAACTGTTTATTCTGTGACAAAAATCGTATAATTACCTTCTCAATATTACAAGATTATATACATTTATTTACACTTTTGTTTATACACGTACCTTATTCCGAAAACCAAGCAAGTGTTCCTCCAACTCCTTGCACTTTCTCTGATACGGAAAACTCTCGCTTTGAATCTGAATTTCTAACGTTGCAATTTTCCCATTTTTCGACACCAGCTGCAATTCCAACTCGTGGATCTTCTTGTTCAACTGCTGACACTTGTCCTCGTATTCGCTGATATGCTTGTCAGACGTCTCGCTCTGCAACTGCCTTTTTACACTTTCATTCTGTACATTGCTTCTCGATTGAATCTGAAGTTCTGCAATCTCGCTTTTGAACTTGTTATTCTCCTCCCTCAACAGCTTCAACGTCTCCTTTAATTTCGAAATTTCCACGTCTCGCTCGTGAACGGTCGCTGCATATTTCCCCAATTCGATATCCAGATCTTTATTCTTAGTTGCTAAATCTCGTATCTTGTTGACACACTCTTTAAGCTCTTTATCCTTCTGACTAAGCAATAACTCTTGCAACACGTCGTCCAGTTTTTCACCTTCCCTCGACAGATTCGGCTCGTTCAGCTTGCATTTGTACACCTGCAATACCTTCTTAACTTCAAGATTTTCCTTCGACAAATTGTCACACTGCCGCCTCGAATCCGCCAGCTCTTTCATAATCTCATACTTTTCACCTTGGAGTTCGGTAACACGGTTCCAAGCACCCTCTAAATTATTTGGTACCTTTTTGCTGAAATCCCTTGATTGATTCATCGACACTTCATTGATCCCACTGGTATCGGCATTGTTCTGTTTCATTTCTGTCTGTTTCCTGAAAGCGTTCAGTTTCGACTGCAAGTCGAAATTCTCTTTCTTCAGTATACGAATAACGTTCTCGTTCTGTCGGAATTTAGTGTCCTCCGTCTGCTCGGTGTCCATTTGCAGTCTCATTTTAAGGGCATCGATCTGGTCGCGGAACTTCTCGTTCTCCTCGGTGAGATTCTTCAGTTTCTCTTCTAATTCGCTGATGCGAGCGTTCTCCGTTAAACGGGAGTGCAATTTGCCTTCCAGCTCTGAAATTTCAATGTTTCGCTCTTGGATTATCGACGCGTACTCCTCCAGTTCGTCGTCCAGTTCCTTGTTCTTTTCTTGCAGCTGCTGCACCTGGCTCGAATATTCTTTGATCTCCTTCTCCTTTTGAGTCAACATCAATTTCTTGTACTCCAGCTCTAACGCGACCGTATTTTTCTCCAATAGAAGCTCGTCCAGCTTACTTTCGTGTATCAACGAGCTCGAAGCGTTGTATTTGGTTTCATAGGTTGACAACGTTTTCTTCATTTCGGTGTTCTCCTGCAGTAACAGATTATACATAGCTTTGGCGTCGGTTAGCTCTGTTAGAGTCTGGTTCTTGATCTCCTGGAGTTCCGCTACACGGTTGCACGCACCTTCCAAATTACCTTGCAACCGCTTGTTCGCCTCCTTCAGCTCTTCTATTTCTGCCTCTGCTTTGATCTTGCTAGTGCTGTTCCTGAGTTTCCGATCCAACTTAGCGTTATCTTGTTGAAGCAGTTCGTAGCTTTCCTTCAACTCGTTCAGTTCGTCTATCAAGGCAACATTTTTGTTGTTCAATTCATTCAACTGCTTAGTTAATCCGGTATTTTTTATTTCCTCCGACTTCAACTTGTCTTTGATGATGTCCAGTTGCTCCTCCCTGTCTTTCTTCAACGTCTCGATCTCCTCCTTGTAGCGTTCAATGACTGCCTTTTTATCATTGATGTGTTCCTTCAACATTTCGTACTCAGGCATAATGGTTTCAAGCTTTGTTTTGTATTCGGACACCATGTCGCACTTGTTCTTTAAAATCATTGCAATCTCTTCTATGTGAGCAGTCTTTTTATCCACTTGCTGACTCATTTCATTGTAAGCATCCGTAAGTTGCTCAAATTCTGCGTTCATTCTCTCTATGTACTGATTGTTCTTTTTTATCTCAGCTGCATTCGCCTCTATGATATTCTTCAATTGTTTCTCATTGGCATCGAGCCCCTCTATGACACTGTTCATCTCGATGTTCTTTGTTTTAAAGGTCTCTACATTGTGTACAAGGTCGTTTATTCTTTTCTCGTACATCTCCCTCTCAGATGTTAGTTTTGACTGGAATTCCAATTCCTTGTTCTTAAATATTTCCTGCGCTTCTTTTTCTCTCTTCTGAGCTACAAAGATTACTCCCTCTTGTTTGCTGTCAATCTTGCACCGTGTATCGAGTTCTGTTTGTAAATTGTGCAAGTCCATTTCCAGTGTCTTCATATTCTTCTTAAGAGTTTCGTTATCGTGAGTGCTCTCTCTGAAGAGATGGTTCAGTTCAGAAATCCTGTTTTCATATTCCTTTTGACAGCGTTCTCGTTCCGTCAGTTCCACCTGCAATTTCTCAATCTCAGCTTCCAATTCCCTCGCCCATGTTGTTGCCCGCTTCTCCGTGTCCACGCATTGCTCAATTTCATCTTCCAACACCTGTTTCTCCCTCTCGAAAGTTTCTCTCAAAGTTTTGATCATCTCTTGCTCCTTCGAGACAAGCGTTTGCAGCAGGATTATGAAAATCTCGTTCACAGATTTGCTGTAAAGATCAGTAGGTTTTATGCTACATTTAAGCGATTTCAATTCCTGCGTTATACATAATTTGATATCATCTAACTCTTTGTAAAGTTTCTCTACGTCTCTCGTTAGATCTTGCTCTTTACAGGATACGCGTTCGTTGCCATTCATTACTTCATTGTACTTTTCCTCCATGTTCCTTAATCTAGTAACCTCTTGCTTCAAATTCAGATTCTCATCAACATATTTGTTCAGCGTATCGTTAAGCTTTTGCAGATTGTCCTCAGATTCCTTAATGCGATGCTCGTATTGCGTGGACATTGAATAGAGTTCACTTTTATGTCTCGTTTCTAAGTTATTCGTTAATTCGTTTAATTCAGCTTCAGTCGCTTGTAATTTCTGTAGTAACACACTCTTCTCCTCTTCACTTTTCTGAAAGAGTTCTTCCATGTGGCAACCTTTCCCTTGGAGCTCTTCGCACAAACATTCTTGTTGTGTCAGTTTTGTTTGAAGATTTTCCACACGTGCCTCCAATTCCTGCACTAACTCCTTACTATGTGCCCTCTCATTTTCCAATTCCTCGCATTGCTTCTTCAATGCATCCGATTCCTCCTTATAATTGCTGGCCATGGAATTTAATGCGAGCAACTCCTGCTTCTGACCTGTAACTAAATCCAAATCACTTCTCAAGGAAGAAACACGTTCGTTCAGTTGATTAATTAACACATTCTTATTCTCCTGTTCAACTCTGAGACCTTCTAATTCTACCTCTAAGGTCAGCCTCTGGTTTTCAAATACTTTTTCCCGTTTAGAGAAATCCTCGATTTCCTTACTCATATTAGCCAACTCATTCTCTAGAACTTGTACCTTCTCTGCTGCGATATTCTCATTCGCAGATATTTTCTGTTCCAGCTCTTCGTTCGTCATCTTCAAACTATTAACTTTCTCCAATAAACTTGTCTTCTCGACTCTGAACTGATTCAGCATTGCGGTGAAATTAGTGCTATTCTTCTTCAGATCATCTATATCGCTTTTCAGCCGATCAATACAATTCTGAACTTGCTCTAATCTGTAGCCCTTCTTATCAGAACGGTTCTTCGACGAGGAATTAATACCCGACACATCTAGAATCATGTTGCTCTGAAGCTGTCCAAGCTCGGTGCACTTGTCCTCGTACATGACGGTCAACTTATCGTGGTCCGCTTTCAACGTCTGCAGTTCATCGTTCAAATTTTGAATTCTCTCCTCGATGAAGCTCACATTCATATCGTCCACGAAACTTACACTCACGGACATATCACGTCCGCTTAAATTTAATTCCTGATTAGCTTTGTTCTTCAAGACCTCGATGTCCTCGCACTTGCGATCGAACTTCCTCTGCAGATCTTCCAACTTTTGATTCAACGCCTTGGCCTCGAACTTCAGAGCTCTCCGACTGTCGTTCAAGTTCTTCAAATGAGCGCATTGACTGCACGACGTTAATTTCAGGTCGCTCAACTTTTTATTCAAACGAGTTAAGTGGTCGATCTTCTCTTGCAACATTGTAATTTTGCTTGCCACAGCTTCTTGATTCCCCTCGTGTACAATATCCTGCGTGTCGTTGTCAGCAATCTCGGTCCCATCATTGAGCACTATCGAAGAACGTGAAGTCTCGTGAAGCGACTTTTCGTTGCGAGAATTATCAAGGTCTTCCATGGTTTGCAACAGATCATTCGAGAATTTTGTGTTCTCTTCTGACAACGTGGTCACTTTGCTCTTCAATTCTAGAATCTCTGCCCTCAGCATGTTGTTCTCGGATCTCAAATCTTCTGCACTATCTCCGGGAGAACTTTCATTCGTTGCCAAGGACTGTTCTGTCATCTTTTTCAGCATTTCGCACTGTTCCTTCAACGAATCGTTTTCTTCAATCTTATCTATTAAATCGGTGGAGAGTTCGTCGTTCTCCGATTGCAGACATTCGTTTCTCTCCATGAGGACAGCTATCTTTTCCTTAAACATGCATTCATGGTCATACAGGAGCGACTTACTTTCCTTGATGCTCTCCAGTTCCTTCTCCTTGTCCGCAACAGAAGATGATAACTCAATGTTTTCAGCCGTCAACTTGTCAATTTTATCTCTATAAGATGCAAACAATTCTTCCTCGTTGCTGACCTCTACCGATTTCGAACGTAACAATTCCAATTGATCATTCAAAGCTGCCAAGTTGCTCTCTAAAGTAATTTTCTCGTTGGTAACTTCAGAGATGCGAGTGTAAAGTTCATCGATTGTCCTTTGAAGATTAAGCTCCGCCCGCGCTGCATTCTCTTGTTCAGTAGTTAATTTAGTAGCCATCTCCATATTCTCATTTGTCAACAGATAAATAGTCTTTTGTAAAGTCTCTATGTCCTGTTTAAGACTTTGAACGTCGTATTTTATCTCTTCCAATTCCTGAGTTTTTAAGTAAAGATTCTCTTCTAGTTGACTCTTATCTGCCTCCATAGTCAGCATTAAAGCCGACACGTCTGCAGTGCTGTCATTAAATCTATACCAAGAAGTAGAAGACTGATTGTCCAGCTGGTCTTTCAGGCTTTGATTCGCAATTTCAGTGTTTGTTGTATTCTGCAGGTCTTTCAGGCTTTGATTCGCAATTTCAGTATTCGTTGTATGATGCAAGTCTTTTATAGAATTCCCAAGACTACCATCCTCATTGATACAATCACCATTATTTTTTGTTTCGAACACTGTAGCCTTCTTATTCAGTTCATTAATCTGCTTTTCTAATTCGCAGATCCTTTCGGCAGAGTTCTGTTTCGAAGCTTGATCCGTATTAACCAATGATTCTAATTTAGAATTCTTTTCGTTCAACTCAGTAATAATACAATGTAGTTCATTTTGTTTCAACATAAAACTTTCAACTTTGTTTTCCAGTTCTAGTATTGTTTCTTTTGCTTTCATAATTTCTGCTTGTTCAGCTTTGGCTTCCACTTCAGATGTTCTTTTATCCAATTCCATACGCAGTTCATTTTCAATTGCAACCTTCTCAGAAACCATACTTTCCATCTGTTTTTTCAGTTCTGCAATTTGCTCTATCGCGTTTTGAGTTTCAGTCTGCTTTAATGTTACTGTAGCTGTTAACTCAGAACGCAATTCAGCAATAATACGCTCCAATTCACTTTTCTCAGTTACTGATTTGTCAATTTGTTTCTCTAACTCTGAAACCTTCTCTTGCATCTGCTCAATTTGAATATGTTCCGTTGTTGTTTTCGCATTTATTTCTGAAGATTTCTGAACCAATTCTGCTTGCAATTCAGAATTATGATGTAAAAGCTGATTCTTCTCAGACGTGATCCTTTTAATATCATCTTCAAGTTCGGCAATCTTTTCCATCGATTTTTTGTACTCAGTTAGTTCTGATGCTTTTGTTTCTAATTCTGAAGATATCTGGTTCAATTCAGCATGTAATTCAATATTAGTACGCTCGCATTCACTTTTCTCAATTGTTATACATTCAATTTGTTTCTCCAATTCAGAAATCTTCTTCGTCGCCTTCTGATTTTCGATTTGCTGCAAACTTACAGTTTCTTCCAATTCAGTTTTTGTGACTATCATATCCTTCACCTGATTTTCTAGGTCAGACACTTTCTGCAGTCCCTTTTGGTGCTCAACTTGTTCTAGCATTATTCTCGCTTCAAATTCGGAAGTCTTTTGATCTAATTCAGCCCGCAAATCAGTATTAACACGTTCGAGTTCATTTTTCTGATTCTGTATATCTTCAACTTGTTTTGTTAATTCGGATATCTTCTCAATCATCATCTCCTTTTGACATTCAATCTGTTCTAATTGTACTACCTGTTTCAATTCATTTTTCTCTGTTGCTAGGTTTTCAATTTCCCTTTGCAGTACAGAAACTTTTTGAATTGCTTCTTCATGCATGGTTTCCTTCAATTTTATAGCAGACTCAAATTCAGCAATCTTCTTATTTAACTCAACGTTGCAATTTTTAAGTTCCTGTTTCTCGGTAATAAGATTCCTAACTTGTTCTTCTAACTCCAAATTCTTCTTTACAGATTCTTGTGCTGCAATTTGCTCCGCTATACTTTTTGATTCCAAACTTGATTCTAATTGAATCTTTAAGTCAGCGTTAACGCGTTCAAGTTCAGTCTTTTCTAAAGTCAGATTTTCAATTTGTTTTTGTAACTCGCAAGCTTCTTCTGTCGTTTGTTTTTGTGTAACTTGTTCCAGAATAACTTTTGATTCTTTATCCGAGATCATCTGATTTAATTCAACCCTTAAATCTACAGTAGTCTGTTCCAACTTGGCTTTTTCAGCTGTAATTTCTTTGGTTTGTTTCTGTAATTCTTCTACTTCTAAAGATTTCTTGTTTAATTCCGTGTACAGTTCACGACGAATATGCTCGAACTCTTTTCTTTCGGATATGATATTGTCAACCTCTTTCTGTAATTCTGTAATTCTTTTCGTTGAATCGACGTTCAACTCTTCCACGCCTTTTTTCTCTGACATAACACTCTTAAGTTTCTTCTCCAATTCCAAGATTTTCTTTATTTCCTCTTCTCTTATACTTTCCTCGGACATATTCTTTAATTCCAACTCTGTTGTTTTTTTCTTAAGTTCTGTACGTAATTCGCGACTCATATATTCAAATTCGTCTCTTTCAGAAGTGATATTTTGAATTTGTTTTTTCAACTCTGAAAACTGTTTTCCCACTTTTTGATTTGCATCTTTTTCCAAGATATTTTGTTCTTCAATTTCCTTAAGTTTACCGCACAATGCACTGATTATACGTTTAACATTGTTCTCCTCTGCAAGATTCAGAATTTTAAGTCGTTCTCTCACTTCTGGAGTGTATTCCACCATGTAACATTCTGAAGCTGGTTTCTCTTGTTCCATTTCTTCCAATTTCTTTATTCTCTCGTCTTCATCCGCATGACAGTGAATTTGTTCACATAATAACTGTTTTTCCAGAGTTGTGAACTCACGAAGCTCTACGAATTCTTTTGTCAAATCTGTTATACATCGTCGTAAAACATGTTTTGGCGTGGAAGGGGATGCTTGATAGCTCATCGTTTGAGTTGCTGTATTGCTCCTCGGTGGCGTTGTACTAATTTTCTCTGGTGTTATACTGTTGTTAGATTTAATGCTGCATACATCATCCTTGAATGTAACACGATGTCGGCGTTTTGTGATATACGGTTCATCTTCGCTGTCGCTGTCTCCGTTTACCCGGTCACGTTCGCTCTCAAATAATTCTAACTCAAAATCAGTAAAAGCTGTTTGAAAAGTTTGGTTCATTAGATCAACAGATTGAATAATACTCTTTCTATGTGACTTAACGCTGGATGTTTCTTTTATAACTGGTAAACCTGGTGCCGGTTGGAAAACAGGTAACTGTTTATTAAACATTCCGGGGCCACCCCATGTCTGTCTTCTCTTAGACTTGGACTTGAAGGAATCATCGCTTGGTGCATCTCCAGAAACGATTCGAGTTTTTAGTAACTCTATACGTTCTTCCAGTAACTGGTTAATACGTTCTTTTTCCTGCAACTTAGATTCCATTTCCTCAACTTCAGCGACCCGATTTTCGGTTTTTATTTTATGTAATTCTGCCTGGAGTTTCGACAATTGTTTCGCATAACGTTTCAAAAGCGCTGCATCAGACATCACTTCGTTCACTTGCGGTTTATTCTTTACACTTTTCGCCCGAGATGCGAATGACAATGTACATTGGGTTTCATCTAAAGCGGCGGGTGTCACGGCGCAAATTATAGCTGTCATAGCATTGCCACCTAAAGAATTTTGAAGTAGTCTTGTTAATTTACTGTCACGGAAATTTACATACTTTTGTCCATCTTGCAGTTCGCTCAATTGCATAATTACTAAACCCAGTGTGGAAAGAGATAAATTAATATGTAGGCCTTCTTTAAATCTTTCACCAGTTGCTCCTGTTTGCCGTGCTCTTTCAGAACCGGCAAGATCCACTAAATTTAATTGTGACACTTGAATTGCACCATCCGAATCTCCTCCAGCTTCTCTACTTTCAATAGTCTACATAGATAAACATATAAACACTGAAATACCATATGCAGAATATTAATATTTAATATCTACTTACAATTCTAAATATAGTATGACTCCTACTACTCCGCTCATTCATGTTAGTAGTTCCTGTTCTTCTATTCTTATCACCCTTCTTCATTATAGACATCATATTTTCTGGAGAGTTTGTAATCTCTTCTTTGCATTGTAAAATTATCTGTCCAGTGTTATCTTCTTTTAACTTCAAATCAATACCACCTCTATTTAATAAATCATTAACTTTCTCCTTATAAATCTCTAAATATGATATTCTAAAAGATAATAGTGGTGCAAGAATTAATCTTAATTTTATCCTATTAAATATAATATCAATGACACAATAGTTCTGTTGTTAATGAAACTTTATGCCAACCTTAATAAAAATTCTCGTCCATTTGTATTTGTGATGGCATCAAACATGTGTTCAATAGCAAGTGGTATAATACCTGGTTCCTCTAATGTACCCATCATCGTATATGTTTTGCCAGAACTTGTCTGGCCATAAGCAAATACGGTTCCATTAAATCCATTTACTGCGGCATCAACAATAGGTTTTACTATAGTATCAAATACATCTGAATTCGATGCGTTCATGTCAAAAATATGATCTGTGAACAAACAACAACCAAAAACATGGACATATATATAATAAGAAATCCATTGAAACGAAATTTAATACATATATCTCGAATGTTGAACAGTTACGGATAATTAATAAATATAATTCATTAATAAATAATTAATAAATACCGAAGCAAAATCCTCCATCTCCACGTTTCTTTATTTCCGTATCCGTGGATACAATAGAATTTCCTTGAACCACCCATTGAATAGTCTGATTTTCGTCTTTCTCACGTTTAATTAAAGGTCTTACTTTAATCGCGACCTTTATACTATCCGACATATTCGCTTAACTAATCACTTTGACAAAGTATCTTAACATTTACTTCCCTCGTTCATATTACATGACGATAACGACTCGCATGTTATTTCAACTGCCGTTTAAAAAAGCGTCCCAACCAACTTCCATTTGAATTTGAATTCTCTGTCATTTGATTGGTTGCTACGAACATAGATTTGCTACGAATGAGATAGGTAAATATAAGAAAGAATGGCAACAGTACTACACAGTAGGTACTTCATACTTTTTGTACGTATTTAAAATATCGTTATTAATATACGATATATTATATATTATTACACATGAATGTTATCAGTATATAATTTCATATGATTATAACTAATGTATTTTAATTCTTGTAAAACTGAGCGGTCACCTCTATGGTATCGCCATCATGTGGCAGGAATATAATACTATCCACTGAACAATACAATCTTAAACCTTTTGTCACAAAATATGGCGGGCACTTTAAATTATGTTCTGCTTCATGTAGTGTTAGATAAGTTATTAGGCAATAATACATTTATTAAATACAGTATAGTAAATAAAATAAAATGTCAATGATGTTGCATCATTAATGTGCAAATTTTTCAACGCATATTTTAATTAATCTGTCATCTTTCATACAGTGTTCTAGAATCAACAATTATTAAATAGCATTTTTATTATTGTATTTCACTGAGGTATTCTATCTCTGAGATAAGCAAGTATCTCTTCTGTAGACTTGGCCAAAATTGCTTGTCGTGGTTGTTTAAAGCAATTCCCTGATAAAGATAAAGTTCTGCAAAAAGAGGAATTATAGTTTGTAATTTTTTTTAAAGATATAGATGTATATATACTTTATCTTACCTTAGATTCTTTATATTTCCAAGTTCTGGTGGTACATATCCAATATTATTATTAGCTAAATTCAATATAGCAAGTTTTCGTAACTTTGTCAGAGACGACACATCAATATCAGTTATTAGATTGTCATTTGCTATAAATATTTCTAATGGCTCAATCGCATAAATGGATTGGGGTATTTCTTTGTACCTGTATTACATGTTTTTACATGAACCTATGATAATGCTAATGATATAAAATAATTGAAATACAACTAAATACACGTAATACCTGTTAAATGAAATATTAATTTCTCGTAAATATTTCAATAAGCCAAGGTTGGAAGGAAGGGATTCTAATAAATTTTTACTTAAATCCAATGTTTGTAAATACTTATATTTTTCACCGATCCATTCTGGTATACTGTTTAATTGATTAGATGTTAATTTTAAATCATCAACTCTTTCAATTATAGATAACTGATCAGGTAATTCAGACAACTTATTTCTGCTTAAGTCCACTGTGCTTACATCAGCTTTACATGCATTTTCCAATACTTCTTGTGACAACTCAGTGAGGTTTTGTCCAGCCAAACTAAGTAATTTTGTACTTTGCATTGTATATCTAGAATATTATAAATGATTTCAAAATTATTTACTATTAATAATTTCATTCTATGCAAATAAAACTCTTGGAAAATGTGTAACAAATGTGTTCATAGGTACATACTTATCTGGATATATACTTGTATTAACATCTGTTACTGCATATTCTTTTGTATTTAAATTTGTACTATTAACAGTTTGTCGTATGTACTTTAAAATGCGAGATGTACCGCATCGTATTATATCGGTTCTTATATTTTGTACATCATTTCCATCAATCACAAATTGCTTTAAATTTGGCATTACACCAATTATACTTGGCACTCTATAAAACAATAGCCTTTTTAAACACATTCTATTACATATAATGACGATATATGTACATAGAATAACATACATGGTAATGTTATTGTTTGATAAATCTAAAATTTCCAGATTTATCAACTTTATTATTTCTTCAGGTATCGTATCAACTTTATTATTTCCTAAGGTCAATATTTTTAATTTTCCTACACCTTCCAGACATAACATATCAATCTCCTAAGAAGTGTAAAAATGAATATTGCATACTTTCTATTATATAAGATACTGTAGTTAGCATGTTATTTTAATATTAAAAGCAGATTTGAGACATAAATCTTGTTTGTAAACTAACTGTTATATATGCATGTAATACATACTACAATGTTATTATCAGCCAAGTGTAGTACTCTGAGAAGTGTACAACCAGACACATTGGGAAATATTGTTAATTTGTTTGTTTGCAACATCACTGTTTCTACCTTCCTTAATTCACCCAGAGGTGGTAATATTTCCAACTGATTATAACTTGCATCAAGCTTTTGCAATGCTATTTTCAAAGGAATGTGTAATTTCTATTAAATTATTACATCATATACATGTAGGAAGAAACAGTGTGAAACTGTTATTTAGTTTTTTTAGTTCTTATTGTATACTACATACATAAGAAAATAATGAACTTCTTTTCAAAATGAAATCTTACCCCTCATATTTGTTAAATCAGGTGGTAACTCTTTTAGCATATTATGGCTTACATCCAAGGACTTCAATCTTACTAGATATCCCATTCCCACTGGCAGACTTGATAAATTATTGTAAGATAAATCCTATATACATAAAGTACTTCAGAAATGTTACTATATACAATTGTTGTAGTGTATGTAAAAATGTATTATAATTTACCAAATGAGATAACATTATTAAATCCCCAATTGCTGAATCAAGTTCCATTAAACTATTGTTCTTTAAGCATAATTCTTGTAGCTCATTTAGTTTATAAAACTGGTCAGGTAATTTTAGTAACTTATTATTCGATAGATTTAGTATTTTTAATATGCTCAAATTCCTAATTTCAGGTGGTAGATCTTCTAATAAGTTGTTGTGCAACTAAAATTATACAGCTTTAGTATGTACAAATTTAAAGATAAACACTATCTATGTACATATACATTTAAATTACTATTAATACATACAAGCAATGTTGTCAATTCTGATAAATATTCTATTTTTGAAGATATTGTAGTTAAGCTATTACAACTTAAATCTAATATTTTAAGTGGTTCTTGTTCCCACCATCGTTCATTTTTATGTACATAATCAAATTCAAAGTGCAACTCTTTTAGCTCTTCCTCTGTTAATGCATTTATATACCATACTCTATCAGGAACTGTAACACATTTCAATATTATTAAAGCATACACATTAATGATTACTACTTTAAAATATATATGTTTGCAATAGACATACAAATTTCATAAGTAATAATGGCTTACCTTAATGGTGATCTTGTATGTTATGATCACAACTATTGCTTGATCTACTGCATTATGCATAGTCTAACATGCAAAGCTATCTATGTACTGAATGTAAAAAAATAATATTATGAATACCATAACATTTAATATAAGTTATATCTAATTTAGATATAATTTTCACTTGTTGGCAAAAATATATCAATTACAAAATGAAACAATGCTATGAAACACAAAGCAAATAGCGCACAATTATTTATACCATAGCTTTTATACCCATAAACCATTGATATTTGCAAATATATCATTGATGATAGTACGAATAAAATATCTGAACTGAGTTATAGAACTTTATGCTAAGTTAACAGCTACAAAATAATGGAACAACCGTTTATCATTGCCAAATTAACAATATATTGTCTCGTTCATTGCATTTACAGAATTAACGCTGCTAATACAAAACTTGATTTTATAATGTTATTATCATTTAAGATCTTTCTCTGTAACAAATGTTGAAATAACGTCAATTGAAAAGAGTGGAATAATAATATATATAATATAAATATGAACATGCAACATTAGCTCCTTTATGAGTGCAACATCGAAGTATTAAGCATCTGAATGATTACCAAAGTGTATCTAAATTAACATCTAAACAACATTCATTTCCAAATGTTGCAAATACCCGTGTATAGCCCTCTCGACGAGAGATTTAGATTTCCGCTGTTTCTTGCCGATATAATGTTAACCTCCGACAATTCGGCATTATCGTCATTTTTTGTGCGTTGTTTAAACACCGCTAAATGATTAATTTTTTTCTTAACGCCGCTCATGTTGTACTTATTGTGCCCATTATGTACTGATCGACATTTTCGGTATAAGATGATTTAATGATGAATCTTCCCCCTCTTTATTCATAATGACGCATCGCATAAAGCACAAGTTTTCTAGTATATGCTTACGCTGAAAACCATTCAGTTTATTTTCAATAGAAAAAGCGAGAAATAATTTACACGCACCACCTTGCATAATTTGATCATTAATTGTATCTTATTATTTACTTCGAGTTCACTTTACCGAATACATAAGAAAAAATTCTAATGCAAAAATAATTAAATAATAAAACATTCTTTATAAACGAAATTCAGAATAATATCTCAAGGATCGATCGATGTTAAGGATTTACATTTATCTTTATATACTGAAATGAATACATTTATATTTTTTTTAAGTTTAATAGATTTCCGAATAAAAAAGAAATGGAGTTTTCCTTGACATTTATTTTGTAAATCTCTCGTGACAAATGTGATCAATGCAAAAGACCTATACATGCGTATACTTCTTTTGTACATGATACAAAAATTCGTTTTTTTTTTCATACTTTAAAATTGAATTTATTTTTCAAGTAGTTAAATATTGAAAAATACTTTAACAATTTGTTGCTATATGATACGAGCTATGGTTTTCTTGAGTGGGAGTACCCCGAAAATGATACCACATATCCAACACAAAAAGGTCTAGTGCGTGTGTAACAAAAAATTGTCATTATTCCTACACCAGAAAAAATAATATTCATAGTGCAATAACATAACGTTAAAATGAAAGGTTCTATGTGTACACGTGTATACGTATATATTTTAACCTTGTATAAGACGTACCATATATCCGAGTATCATTAAAGTGAGTTGTATGTACCTACAAAGGTAATTTAAAAATGTGTATGATCATGTATGATTGTAGTTCATTGACATATGCAAATTTAAATGTTTACTATAATTTTTAAGTTATTTTTTACTTAATGCTGGTATATTTCAAGTTTTATGGCTTGTTTCCTACAGTTTCTTTAAAAAATATAATCATCATAAAAATTAATGTTACTTAAAACCATTCAGATTGACAGTAAGTTGAATTATTAAAAATTAATTATTCAAAATGAAGATCAATTATGTAAATATATAAATTTTTATACAGATGCTTTACACGCATTCTTCATGACAAAGGTAGTGGGACTATGGTGTATTCTATTCATGAAGTGACCGATTAAAATAATTGTTTAAAGCTGTACTAAAACAGAAACAAGAAAATGACAGAAAAAGGAAAGAAATTACCTACAAATTCATTAACGTGAGTATTCTATTAATTTTTATAATCATTATTTTCTAATAAGTGTGCAATTATATTAATTATTAAAAATATATGTATTACAGGGCAGAGGAGCTATTACAAAATAAAGGTATTAAATGTAATGCTTGGGATGAATATGAAAGATCAGCCAAAACTCTTCCCAAGACTGGTATGAAGCAATTTGAACCAGATGATTCTTGGTTACAAAATATGCAAATTGAGAAGGGTATTAAGTCACGTAAAAATTTAATAGCTGTAGAAAGAGTAGATCGTATTTCGCAATTAGCTAGTGCTGAATGGTTACCTCTACAGAAAAGAGCTAGGGTGAAGAAATATTCTGGTCAAGATTGGGGTAATTTTGGCTTAGAAAAGAACTGTGCCTTGTATTTGTTACCAGAAGAAGCATTGTTTCTACTAGAAACTGTATGTTATTATTATGTTAAAAATTGAATAGTTTAACATGGTATGGGAAAAAGTAAGGTGCTATTTTGTTTTAGAACTGTTTGGAACTTATTTGGAATAATGTACCATTGTCCATTCAACAAGCTTACGAACTTTTAATCGATAATATTGAATGTACAATAGAGGAATACAGAGTTTATAGCCATTTAGCACGTTATGGTTATCGCATACAACGTTTCATTTATGATACAGAGAAAAGCACAAGAAGCGATGAAAGTAATACTGTAAAACGTAAGGTTATTGTTGAACCAGAAAATGGTCTTTGGAAACATACTAATAGTAATGCAGATACAGACAATGAGAAACATGTCAGTGATCAAGAGAATACACCTGTAGATGCTAATGATTCTAAACCTTACTCAGATGTATGCGAATATACAGACATACTGGATGATGTACGTAAAGTTATAGATGATCTTCTTGATGCAGTAAAAGATATTGAAAGTGAAAAAAATGATACAGAAAATTTGTTATTGGACACTAATGTACCTACAGAAAAACACAATCAAGACAAAAGGAAACGAAATTCTAAAGTTAAAATAATATCAGAAGAAACTTTACCAGGTAGTATTAAAGTTATTACAGATTCCAAAAGAAATTGTTTGAAAGGAAATAATTCAATGATAGACTGGCGATCAGCGCGAATACAACGGAATGTTAAATTATTGCCCAAAAGAACTGATAAAATGCTTTTACCTACTCCTGATGTTTCCATACTTGATTCTAATACTAAGAGTCTTGAACCAAGTTCAGGTAAACATAAGTCATCTTCACCGCTCAGAGAAGAATCTCAAAATAAAAAATCAAAACACGAGGTAAAATTTGTAATAAGTACAATAATAATGTCTTTTTTGTGTTGATATATTATAATATCAAAGTAATTTTTTTATTTTATAATTAGGTCATAGAACTTTCTGATGATGAAGTTGAAGAAGTACCACAGCCTATGTCACGGATGGATCTATTAAATTTAATTCCAAACATTGCATGTCAGTCAACTGTAACAGTGAAAATTTCTAGAGGTTATATACCACATAGTATAAAACCTCAAAAAAATATTTATCGCTATGAAAATAGAAAATTAAGAAATTTACAACAAACAGATAAAAAGTTGCAGCAACCTGGTCGAAATGTAGATACTTCAAATGGTAATTCAAGTGGCAATACACCTCAGTGTAATAATGCATCAACGAGTAATAACATTAGGAGGAACACACATATTGCTACATTGAATCACAATTTAGCAGCAGATATACACAATGTTTTTATGCAAGATTACTTTTCTATGGAAGGTGGACAGTATACAAATTTTAACACTAATTACATGTACAATAATAGAATGCCATTTGCATACAGTCAAAATTCTTATTGGCACCATAGGAATACTATATTTCAAAATGTCTTTGTGGCTCTTGAAAATCATAGTGCAGCTATTCAGAACAGATTCATGTCAGTACAAATGAACAATTTTTCAGTGCCAAATATGGGTAACAATATAATCAGAAGTTTTGTTGCCCGGAATCAGTTGTACCATAATTTTCAACAGAACTTCTTACCACCAAGAAAGTTATGTCACCACGGAATGGTAGAGAATATGTCAATTCGCTGTAGTGTAGCTAAAAATGTATCTGTATATGAACCTCGTCAAAGATACTGGCCACGTAATCATTACAAAAATTCCAATTTCTCGAATCGTAACGACGAAGTCAATCAGGCATCGTTTAAAATACTACCTGGAACGTCTTCCTGGTCAGAATTAAAAACTAAATGGCGAGAAGAAAAAACAATCACCATTGACGATAAAGATTCGCACAAAGATGACGAATGCGATGAGATACAAGTAGTTGGTCGATTAAGAAGCCCACTTATCGGGCCAAAAAATGCAAGTACTCTTGAGGAAGTTTTTAGCAAGCTTAAAATAATCAAGTCTGCGCCCGAGAAGACCGTAAGAAGAAAAAAAAGTAGATACAAGATATCGTACAATGTTTATTCAAATATACATAATTATAGAAAAGCAAATCCTGGTCCACCACTTTACCGGATAGTTGTAATCAGGTAACTAAAATTTTGTTACGTTAATAAATTATACTTTTGTCAGATACAACTTCATTTCTCAATTATATTTCAGGCAAGATGATCCATTTTTACAACCAATTGAATTACATCGTTTGGTGCAAGATGCAAACAACTCACCAATAATGTTAGCCTGCGTTTCAATGTCAATTTCATACATTCAACCAGGATTTGTATGTATACCTAATTTAACATAACCAAAATAAAATATTTAATTACGTTTATCCACTCTTTAAAGTCTGTTTATTTCACGAATCTATTTCACGCCAATTAATTATATACATTAACACATTCTGAACTCATCAACCATAGTAAGATGTTGAAAGGACAGAATAGCAAACTAATATACAAGAAATATATAATTATTAATATTCTCACAATTACTGCAAATGATTGTTTCACGGAGGATAGGAATTACAGGAATGATGCATCATATACTACACAAATAATGTGTATTTCGAACTTTATTATAAACGTTTCAAGTAACATTTCACGTTGTAGAAAGTGTTTTCGGTTTTGTTTTATTGTATTTTTGTGTTTTTCATAATATTCATGGAATTATTTTCGATCTATTACCGGTTCTATTGTTTGCCCACCACAAATTTGACCCCAGCCGATCAAACGCCAGTGCTTCTCGATACGACGAGACAACGCGATCTTCTCTTCGATTTCCGTACACACGGGATTGGTTAAGCTGATTTTAGCCAAATCGGCACGAGTGGCTATTACACGACCTCCGGTACTCAGAGATCCGATATTTACCAACAGTACTTCGTTCCTTGATAATTTAGGTACCTAAACGTTTCACCATATTATTTCATAGTTCTCATGTAATAAAGAAATACACTAGTTTATACGATGTACGATGATCTTACCCTCGCAGCCTTCTTATCACCTTCTGTCCGGACCCCTAACAATCGTTTGAGTAGATAGTACGATATTTCCAGTTCAATAAATATTTTTGGCAGAGCCCCTACAGCTCCCAAAATCTGACCGACTAGACGATCCGCTCGGCACAATGTTGGTTCAATTTTTGTTCCAACACCTTAAAATGTAATACACAAACCTTACTGAGTCCTTCGCCTTCATTAAGTACATAGATGTGTCATTAATATATTCAAAGATAAAAAAAATTACATTTAGCTTTAAATCTAAATTTCATACTATGAATATATTATGGCTTACCAATCAAGCCACCTGGAACAGCAAATTGAAGTTCATTTTGTTCAGCGAACAATGATACTATTCGTGAAAATATGGGTCGACAAGTCAGTTTTCCATCGCTATCTTTTGATACTAATCCAGGTCGTACTTCAATTTCCATGCCCACCTACGACGCAACGAACGTTTTAAATTACATACAGAAAATGTAATGCAAAGATAAAATTAATAACTATCGTACTTTTAATACTCCTCTTAAAATACTTCCCCCAGCTACACCTCCTTTCAAATCATCTACCTCACAACCAGGTTTATTTACGTCGAATGATCGAATTACAATTAATCTCGGTTCCGAAGTAAAGTCTCTTAAAGGTACTGGAATCTTCTTTGTGATGTACTCACACAAGACTTCAATGTTGTATTTTAATTGCGCTGATATTGGTATTACAGGTGCTCCTTCAGCTACTGTACCTAAAGAAGAAAAACGAACTCTTTATTATATCTCTGAAAGCAATAGAATAACAATTCATAAATTATGATAATCAAAATACCTTGCACAAATTTCAAAATTTGTTCATGCTGCTCCTTTGCTTGAGCTTCTTTGACCAAATCTATCTTATTTTGCAGGATTATAATGTGTTTCAGTTTCATAATTTCAATTGCAGCTAAATGTTCAGATGTTTGAGGCTGAGGACACGATTCGTTTCCAGCTACAAATAAATGTTTTCATTAAAATCTTTCAAAGTTATCAATATTAAATGAGATTGATCATAAGTAAAATGTTATTTTGCAAAAACTGTGTACCAATTAGTAGTAAAGCTGCATCCATTACAGCTGCACCGTTCAACATAGTTGCCATAAGAATGTCGTGACCTGGACAATCTACAAAGGACACATGACGTACAAGTTCAAATCGTCCAGTACAGACAGGACGCAAACAGGGAAATGTATCATCTTTGCTTGATCCTCCAGATATATAGCATCCTGGTCTTGGACATTTTTCATTGTTGCATTTGTAAATCTTGGCATTCGCATAGCCTGAAATGAATCAAATTAAACAAATTTATTGTATTACTTTAACCGAACACTTGGTTCCTTATCTCACATTAACAAGAATTTCTTTTGGTCGAGAATTAAAAAAAGGAATACTATACTAAACAAATTTGACCTCAATATTTAGTTTCAGGAACTCAACTGAAACACTGCTTTGTAAAGGAAATAATTTAAATAAAAAACAACGAGATCAATCATTAATTAAAAAATTTAATAGTGATAATATTTTACATTTCTTTGTAAATACCTTATAGATGCTTAAAGCGTATAATAAAGTTTTCCTATAAATTTCTTATAAATATACAAAATGTTCATCTTACAATCGCTTAAATTGTATAATAACACACAATAATCATCTAATTTTAATTAATTACAAGTAGATTAGTAAAATTTCAGATTATAATTTGAATAAAGCTTATTTTATTAAATAAGAATTTTATATACATACACATATTACCATTTCGTAATGAGAATATTTATATTACGAGTATAACTTGTTGAAACTTCTTAATGTACATGGCAATACCACTAGGTTGTACTTTGTCATTTCATTTGATTCACTATTTACCTCCTATGTCTTACAAACATAATTTATTTTATAACTAAATGAATCAAGACAGTTAAACAAATCTACTTTGGATAGAACAACATAACTTCACAGACATATCAATAATAAACTAAAGGTATTCTATAAATTTTTCTATGAAATGTACAGCATACATAAAAACACAAATTCTTGATAAAAAAAAAATTAGGAATTCACAATTTATAATTTTTTAATTAAGTGTAGAGTGACTCACATAATCAATCAAATGTTTTAAGAGACATTATAGTTTGAGCAAATATTTAAAAAAAAATAATATACAAATTCTGATGTGTGTAAATGCACATTATACTGGTAATAAAAGTAAGAAAAATGTTTCTCAGATAAAACAATTTCATAGACCTGTTAGACAAAAATTAAATTAATTATGTGTCTCACTGCAAGCACAACTAATTTTTATGGTACTCTGATAGCAACATACAATTTGGTTAATAAAAATAAACATTTCCATATTAAATAGTCATTATATAATAATATTTTTGTATGCAAAACATCAATCTCCTTTATTTGAACATTATTATAATGCATAGGATAGGCTTAAGCAACTTGTCTGTGCCAGATACAAGCATCTGTCGTTGCCCTTGGGTAACGTTCACGGTAGAGAGTGTGGATAATATGTTCTTCCTCACTATAAGATCATTGCCCGAAGAGGCGTGGTTTTCAAGTCAATGTCTAGCTACGCCCGGTGACATGAAGAAATGCCCGTATGGACAATGAAGTGCCCAGCCCTGTTATAGAGAGTCATACTTAATTTAAGCTCATTTAATGTAAAAGTAGATGACTTTTAATTAAAGTGAGTAAACATCTGATGGTGTCAAGAACATTTAGTTTTACACTAAACTCATCAGAAACATTCAGAAACACAACAGCACAATCATTCCTCTTTCACGTCATAATTGCTTCTATAAATATTCGTGCTCATGTAGAATCCATATCAAATTATACACATTAAATATCGTACCTTCTAAATACCTCTGACCAGCTTATCCGAAGCTTTATTCTCATCGAAAGAGACTTGAAGATATAAAAGTTATAAGATATGCACATAAGTATGTTTTATTCTCTAGATAAATCTTTCAATAGAAATTTGAAAACAGTTTCTAAAGTTTACTTACTGCTTAATCAATCTTTTTTAAATGAGATGTCATATTTAAGTTTCAGTTCTCCTTCTGTCCTGTTCAGATTATGAAACGTTAGTTATGTTGGCACTTGAAGGACTATTTTATACGATTGAGAATAATCGTTTTACAAATGAGTAGATTATCTAATCTTACAACGTTTGCAATTCTTAAACAAGATAGTTTGGATCATTGAAACTGAAATTAATGTGTGTACAGTTTTATGTAATACTAATGCTGTGTAATAAATTTAAAAAAGAAAATATCAAAACAGATATTGTCTACAATTTCGAGCACCGCATTTGCATAAAGTTTTACTGTACGACGAGTCTGACATTGGCGTTTCCGGTCGTATTTCAAATTTGTCTTGAGATTCGGTAATGCCTGTATTTACATTGTCTTTCACCAATATATCTTCCTTTAAAGTTTCGCTATTTCCAGATATCTGGCATGTATAATCAAAAGTGATCTCTTCGTTCTTCTTAATGTCTCTGGTCGCGAACAAGGCAAGTTTCGGGAGATTCGGATCAAGACAATCGATCCAAACAGCATAGACTGCCAAGTTTGGGTCACAAGAATGGTTAATAAAATGCGAAATATTACCATACACTGCAGCATCAACAGTATAAGGACATTGTCCTTCAGTTTCATTATAATCTAGATCGAATAGATATGTTCTACCAGCAGCATCATATTCTTTGCCACGTTTCTCAGCTTCTTCACTTGTGATCACCTCACCCACATACTGTGTCACAAAAGACCCTTTTTTAATTGACTCTAATGTTTTCACACCCCAGCCTCTTCCGTTAGCAGTCCTAAATATACAAAGTTTCATCTCTGTTCCGCGTTGTACTACACGATTAATACAGCTCATATCACATGTACATCTCTTGTTGCATTCATATATTGGTGTACCAGGTTGAACTCGTATTTTACACGTGATAGTATAAGGGCAGTATCCGCCATATTGTCCAAAACAACATTCTGTTTTGGAATTACAAGTTCTGCATTCACAACCAATGGGTGGATCATCGGGTATTATCACTCCAGCACCAGGTAAATAATCATCTATGTAATAAAAGTTTTGTGGTGCTTTTTCTAAATCTACTTTATTTTCCACCCTTATCAATGGTTTACCTTTAGTAACAACATTCATCTCTTTTTCCCAAAGTAGTAATGATTTCAACTGTTCTCTTCTTAAATCAGAAATCAACATACACAGAATACCATCTCTTACAAACTCGTATCTTGTATTTTTAATGTATTTCTGTCTTAAAAAATTTGACATACTAGTAAATAATGTATCTTCATTAACTGATATAGATGTTATTGTTTTTCCCTTATATGCAAGTTCTTTTAGAAATTTTTCAATGTCCTGTTTGGTTGGGTAGAAGTTTGCTTTCTTTTGAAATGTAGTGAGCAATTTTAATCTATTTCTTTTAAACTCCTCTAACATATCTGAACAATTAATTAAATTTGACTCTGGCTCCCAAGTATTATATTCATTGCCCCAGTTCTTCCATTTAATTAAATATAATAACTGATCACCTTGTTGTTTTTTTCCAAGAATCTGTTCTACTTCCCATAAATCATTTTCTGAAGATGGTAAATTTATTTTATGTTTTTTGTCATGTTTTACATCTTTTAATACGATCTTCAATTCCTTTAACTTAAAATTGTCTATATTGTACTTTAGTTGTAACTTCTCAAAGTAGCTACCACTTTTTACATTAAAATTAGTATTATCACTACTATTCAACTTATTCAGTCTGGTTCTTTCCGTACTAGTTTCCTTTTTATTCTCAGAATACTGTGTGCTTCTGATACTGTTTCTACTTGTGACTTGTGTGTTATCTTCACAACTGAAAGATGCATTATTATTGCTCAAATATGTATCTACAGTCTTATCTGAACTAGCGTCTTCTAAAGAATTAAAATTTTGTTCATATTTTGCTTGTTTCATAGATGGTTGAGTGTTCCCTGGAGAGGCTGGTCTTTTTCCACATGTGTAGAACATTTTGTTCGTGTCGATAAGAGTATCTTCTATATCCCCACTGGTATCCTCCTCTGCATGAGTGTCTGTAATGCCAAACATTTAAAGGATGTCATTCTCTCCAGTCATATATTTCTGTTTCATTTAACTTGTACAATTGTGCTTCCCCGTTTTCTTAGCATTAGCGTATCACTTTGCATTCCAAAATATTTTGCAAATCCTCTTCGTTCTTCTCTTTTGTGCAAAGTGCCAGTGTAAAAAACTATTCCTTATCAAATTATATTAGTTATTTACATTTTATCGCATAACATTCACAAAGATATACAAATGCGAACTGACTAAAGCACACCTTAATAATAACTTCTATCAGACTTGTTTCTCAATTTTCATCTTGCATTCAATAAATCTTTGAAATATAACATATATAATAAGTAAACCATGTAACATATGTACTTTTTTTTAATATTTCAAAAGTATCTTGCACTTTTTATTTATATGAAGTTTACTTTATTAAATATACCATAGATTTTCTTTATTATATATTACTTTCAAGGATTTTGTTTTCAAGAAATAAAATGCAGATAATTTTAATATAAAAAATGTGTTTTATTGTTTTTTAATATATGCGTAATACAAATATGTGATATGTTGTACATTATATATTAGTTACATAAAATTATTCCAATAAATTCAAAATATATGCATGTAAAAGATATTCATTATTACATGTAAAAATTTAATAGCATATATATAACTATACTTACCTTTGTTCAAATTTTATAATTAAAAAAAAATTATACTTACATACACAACTATTATTTATGCACTTCTCATGTTAATATATACAATTGCAAAACTTCTAGTATTTGTAAAGATATTTATTAAGGTATGCTTTAATCAACAATCCATATAAAACGTTGAATTATTACATTTCACTATGTGCCAACCGTTAATTATAACAAATGAACACATATATCTTGAATTTATTGAACAATAAATTTAAAAACAATATCACTACTTTAATCACTTATCCGTACAAATCGAAAATTAATCTTATTCAATTTTAAAAAAAAAGAGGGAAAAACTACTTTTGACATACGTTAATCAATACACTTCAATGTTGGGTAAAAAAAATTAGTATTCAATGTACCATTTCGAATACTTGAATGTTGTTTAAATATTTAAAATGAAGGATATTATATGCCAAAAAGTGTCGAGAAAAATAACAAAATTATATTGTTGTTCTCACCTTAAATTAAGAAAAATAAAATACAAGTTTAAAACGGTTATACGGCGTAACCGTTAACTAGAATTCTGTAAGAACTAGAAATATAAAACAATCTTCATTGCGCGCGATCCGGAAATACACCCTTTTATAAGATGGCGCTAATACAAGCGACATTAGCGCCATCTTTACGACAAGTATAAGAACTGATGAACTGCATATGCATCTCATTAAGACTCACATATATATACTTATGTGACACAGCAGACAAGAGAATTGCGGGAAGGTTGTGAGACACTGGTAAGATAAGCTTCTATTGTGCAGCACTGATATTGTGTAATATACATATGACTCGAACAAAAAATTTAATCCAGCATAAGATTAGTTTTTCCTAATCTTATAAAATGTACACCTCATTCGCGTTGTTCGCAAGAAAAGCCCTGAAAGGAATGCAGGTCGCGTTGGTCAACTTTCATCTGTTCTCATATCGTTTTCGATACTACTTTGCTATTCGTCAACATGGTTACACATAACCAATCAAAAGCATAAACAAAATCCCTAGCGAGAGCCCCCCCTTGCCCCTGTGCCGTCCCGAGACTATTCACGTGAACAACGCGGTGTCCCTTACGTATGAACTATGAAATCATTTCTAAACATATAAGAAAGCAAGATCTGGAAACTAACAGTGGCATCGACCGAAGCCTCTAATTTATTATTATTCTGTAGTTTTATCTGTTTATAAATCAGATTGTAAATTAACTTTAAACTATAAAAAGGCTTTTCAAAATTTCATTCACAGTAAAAGAATGCAATGAATTAATATTTCAATAGTCATGGTAAGTAACGTTTCTTAAATATAATTTGGTTGTACATATAATCAAAATATTAATGTAGAAAATAAAATTTGATATTGATATTACATGCAAAGTACATATTGCTCAATTCATTAAATATAACAACGTGAATTTCTCAAATTACTCACCAAGTTTAATAGTAATGTTCCTTTCTAATTCATTTTTAAAACGAACAGTCTGTACTCCTGATATAGCTTTTACAATTGTGGATTTTCCATGGGCTACGTGACCAATGGTACCTATGCAAGAGTTTCATTATGTTTTGTAATTTATATTATGTGCATTTATGTAATTGTAAATTACTTGTCAAGTAATCTTTGAACACAAAATGTTGTATAGTTACCGATATTGATTGTAGCTTGTCTACTGATGACCTCCGGTGATAATGCAGTTAATTTACTTACATCCTGAACAATAAAAATTTTATAAATCTCAATAGTATATCCACAGAAAATATATAGAACCACAATTAAAGAAACATACATTAATGATATTTATAAAAATCACTGTCTGCTTTTAATCAATTTCTTCATTGAACCATAACATATTAGAAAATGAAACGAATGCTTGTGTTCAAATTATAACAATGACAAATATTTTATTCACATCGGATAAATACTGAAAAGTTTTATTAATTTGATTTTATCACACTATACAACTACACTTATATATAAATTAAATGTATGTAAAATAAACATAATAAAAAATTCCTTTGTTATGTGCCAGCTATTGTTTTTGCGGAAGAATGTTATAAAAATAACAAAATGAACTCGAACGGTAAAATGTTAAAAAGAAATATGTAAAAGGTTATAAATATAATGGAACAACTCTGAACCAACTCCAGATGTCATTAATAATTGTCACAGGATAAATAGTAACGTGCTAAATAAGTTCTCCACGAAGTGGACGCTATTTGAACGCGATATTACTTCCTTTCGCACATAGCAATTAAAATTTTCATTCAAATTATCGCGAGCGAAAAGTATTACAGTATGCCAGCAACGACCAGTATTGAGGTTATGGAAAGTATAATGAAAGCTTGTCAGATTACAAATGCACATCGGCTTCGACATTACTCACTAGCTTCGACAGATCTTGTTTATAAAGATTCGGTTGACCAGTAGTCACTCCTAATCGTTCTTCACCACCCATAATCACTAAGTCAATATTCGCGATATGCAAACCACGCGAGGAACACTTCAAAAAAGGCAATAGCTCATTTAAAGTCGAGAACACCGACGACTCCTATACTGAAAAGAAGCTAAAAAACTGTGAGCAGCGCCACGTGGAAACATTACGAATTACTGTATCCTCGCGGTATAAGCTCGGTAACTAGGCATCAATAAATAGAGCTCTTAAGTCTTACACTACTTACTTACACCGATACTTGCCTACTTTGAATAAGGATACTCATGTATTTAGAGGGAATAATAAACGATGGTAAAAATTAATAACCTGTAACATACATGCGCCATTATTCCGGAAACATACGTAAATGGTAATACAAAATGGGTAACTAACATTCTTATATGACGAAGACGACAGTAAATGAAGATTTACTTGGTCAACAACAACGATATAACAGGAAAAACTCAATTTACTTATAAATACAGCTTATAAGTAGCACTGGAAAGTTCTTATTGCCATCAGTGAACTTCTACAGTTTGTTTCACATTGCAAACCGAATGGGAGCGTATAAGGTAGGTGCAACGAGTTTATATCGTGTGACTGGAACATTATTTCTCACTCTCGTTATTAACATGGGGAAAGATTAAAACGATAGAGAGAATAACTGTACATTTCTAATATAGAAAATAATATGAGTCCCCATCACAAGAGTATTGGACTGTTTATTTATAAATAAACGAGAAAATTGTTTTTTTTTTCAAGAAATTTATGAATTATTTCCTTAAAGTCATGTCGCCATTTTAAACCATATACAGAAACTTCATTTATTAACAATTTGTTATAATCGTTAATACACAGATCAAAAATTGAATGTAAATTTGTGTAAATTTTTGTTAAAAATTTGTTGTGAAAGTTCTTTTACATTGGGTAAATCGCAATTCAGTGATCAATAATTCATTTGAAAGCGCAAACCTTGGCGCCATTTGTAAGAAGTTGAAAAGTGTGATCTTAATTTAAATAAATATTTTATTTGTAAATATTGCTCGTACATTCCGTAATAATATACATTTTATTAATGTAGAAATTCAGATATGCAAAATAAAAGTGTTATTATTAACATCTGTTTTCCGTTTAATGAAACGGCGCAGTTGGTTATTAAAGAGCACTTAATTTAACAACAACAGAGTATTTTAAATGGTAATTATACAAACAATAATATCCGTCGAATAGACAATTTATCATGAAAACTATGAAAGTAAGAATATAATCTGCAAACGTTCAATAATAACTGTTTCCGAAATGTAACAAAATTATATGAAATACAATGTAACTTACGGTCGTGCAAACATGTTACGTGTTCGCAGAATAAATTTTTAACGTAATTTAAATTGAAAATGAGAGAAATCTGATCGTTGGACTTTATTTTTCGTGTTTTCTTTTCAGCGAAATATCCATTTATGACAGACCGTTATTAAACCGATGAAATTAGTATAACCGCTCTACGTTTAACATGGATGAATACGTAGATTTGTTACTTGCAAGACGAAAAGATTGTGATATTTTATGGGCTTCTCGATCTATGGATCCACTATTACCACATAAACTTTCTTTAGAATCTAAATATTCCAGACATCAAATGATCGAGGCAGTATTAAACGATGAAAAAGTTAAATTAGCGATTACAACTTTGGCTGCAGTACAGCATGAGAGCATAAATAAAGTTGTAAAAGATGCTCGTGTAATGATTAATGAAATGGCCAGTAAAGCATGCCTAGCTACCGTTCGCTGGTTAGGTAAGATGAAGATCTACTAAAAGAAATGGTAACATTTATGAATGAAATTATTAATGTTTGTATTAAATTTTAGGTATCATTATTACAAAAGTTCTTAAAAGAATTTTCTTAAGTATTTACATAAATGAGTCTACATTATTGAGACTACAAAAGGAAATGCAAATTTCTCAAGTTCAATATGTTTATGTCCCTTCTCACAGAAGTTATTTAGATTTCATATTATTATCATATGTTTTGTTTTCTTATGATATGGCTCTTCCAAATATTGCAAGTGGTATGGACTTTTATCAGATGCATGTAATAGGAGAACTGTTAAGAAAAACAGGAGCTTTTTATATGCGACGTAGCTTTTCTAATGATTTATTATACAAACGAGTATTTCAGTCATATGTAATGTCTCTAGTAGAGCACAGTGATAGAGCAATAGAATTTTTTATTGAAGGTACTCGCAGTAGAAGTTTGAAAAGTATAATACCAAAATTTGGTATGTAGAAATGAATGATTTTAATATAATTTTATCATAAATATCAGCTATCAAGAACATAATTTATAATTGACATTTTCAGGTCTTTTGTCAACCATTTTAGAAAGTTTACTAGAAGGTGGAGTACCTGACATTCATTTTATACCTATAAGTATCAGTTATGAACGACCACCAGAAGAACTGTTATTTGCATATGAACTTTTGGGTGTCCCAAAACCAAAAGAATCTACAGTTGGCCTTCTTCAGTCTTTATCCATTTTACAGAAACCATCTGCTTATGGGTCTGTTTTCTTTAATATTGGTGAGCCTATTTCTGCTTGCAACTTCTTAAACATGGAAGACCGTAAAGCAAGAGTGTTATCACCTTACGTAAAACTGCCATCAACTGTTCTTGAAAAATTGGCATACTGTGTAATTGATTCACATAAAAAGAATACTGTTCTTATGCCTTTTAATTTAATTGCTTTGCTGTTCAATGAAAGGAGCCAAGTGAATCTTGATAATCCATATACATTAGATAGTTTAGTTAATGATTATGTTTGGTGTAAAAACCTTTTACAAACATTTAATGCAACTGTACATTCAACAAAGTAAGTACTTTTAAAAAAGCAAAAGAATTTTTTTAAGATACAGTCATTATTAAAGAATGTTTTATGTAGGTCATACGATTTAAATGATATGAGACAAGAAATATTAAATGCTCTGAAAACTCAGGAAGAATTACTCACACTTGATCCATTAGAAATTTTAAGATTGAAACAAAGACACAGAGGAACAAAGCTACAAATTAATACACGCATTAAAGGCCATACTCTTTCAGAGAAAATAATGCAAATAGCAGTACCAGTTATCAACATGTCAATTTATTTAAACCCAACTCTTTCTTTTCTAATAAAACCTGCTATGGTGACATTAGCAATAGGAAAAGAAGGAGTTGAATACGGTAATGTTAATATTAATACCTTATTTATTATCCTTTATATTCATGAGTAATGGTATATAAAATATAATGTATCTTTATTGTTTTACATTCAGGTTGTGGTTTTGAACGATATGCATTACTCAAAACAATACTAAGCACAGAATTTGCAATGCCCCTAATAGATGATGAGTCTCTGATAAAGTTAGAATGGGAAGAAACATTAAATGTTCTGTTGAGACTTAATTATATAAGTATCCAGGATGACAAATATACTGAAGGACAGAACTCACAAGTATTTTCTCTTTTGTATAATGTACTACTACCATTTATAGATGCCATATATGTCACATATCTTGTCTTGTTTGAGGTAAAGTTAAAAATATATTTTCATGGTATTATAAAATTGTTGTATGTTCGTGGGAAAACATTGCTTTTTTTTTAATTATAGTGGGATGAATCAACCGATATAACAATACAAGCTGTTTCAACTGAAGCTCAAAAACGGATAGAACAAGCATTTTTTAATGGAAATGAATGGGGGAAACATCCTTATTCATTATGCCTTGATTTATTTTCTACATCGATAAATAATCTCCTAGTGCAAGGCATTTTAGTGCCAGCCGAAAGACGGTGTACATACCAAATTGATAAAATTCGATTGGCATTACTTCTTGAAAAATTGCAAAATCTTTCGTTGAAACGACCGCCAATTTCATATCGTGATATTGTATTGTTATCTTTTACACCGCCAGCTATGCCGGCCAAGCTATAAACATAAGTAAAACTTCTCTAAAACCTTCACTACAGTAAGTTGAACTGGTTAAACCAAGGATTTATTTAACTCTTAAAATTTTGTAATGCAATTCGCATCACAGCCATTAATCTAGTCGATACGTGATCATCTTTTAAAATTATTAATTCCTTTTATAAATTTTTCATAGTAAATTATTTAATATATTACAATTGCGAGTCGATTAAAAATTAGAGGTGTATTTGTCCACGATATTGAGTATTTTAACTGTCTCTTCGTCAAATGCGTTTATGGATTTTCTCCTTCTACCGAGGAGTAGAGTTGTTCCAGTGGGGTTCGGTGTTGGATTATTCATGTTTCTAAATAAAAGCTAAAAAAGATAATTACATGAGAAGACAAGTATATGATTATTTGCAATATCGTAATGAATTGTATACAGTTAAGTTAATAATACCATAACTAATCGAACAAGGTATACTGCAAACGTGAGAAATGAGATAGCCATCAGTGCACCTTCTAAAGATGGAAATCCTGTGGCATTATCGTGAGAATCATAACTGTGATCATAATGATCTGTGCCTCTTTTTTTTCTACCGGGTATTAGAGTCTGCGTGAGTCGAGATTCTTAAACAATAATTATAAGTAAGTATCTGTTCCATGGATTTCTATATTTCTTATATAAATCATTCATTACCTATCTCAGTTATTAATGTTCGTTCAAATGTTTTTAAGAACAAACGTTTCCCCTCGCTAGATGTAGATTGCTGTCTTAAAGTTTGATGAACATTTTTTAGTATATTCAATGGCAAGTATTTTAAAATATCCATATCATTTGAATTTATCGATTCATTGTAATATTCATTGTTTGTCTCCTTCTCCTGAAAAGGAAAGCTCATTAGTAATGTTACTGATAGAACTAGTGCTACCTTACATTTGTTATTGAAAAGTCTGTTTCCTCTTCTTGTTTTTCAGTGCTGGTTAGGAAAGAATCTTCTTCATTGGTATACTCATGAATCGTAGTGTCGCTATCAGAATTCTTAAGCTCGTGCACCACGAATCTTCCACTTCCGTTCACCGAAATTTCTTCGCTTGAGTCTTCGCGAGGATCATTATTATACATGAAAGGAAATTGATTTTCCGCAGGGTTTTGGGAAAATGGAAATGGTTTATGGAAATGGTCCAGTTTCGAGGGGGGTATTCTATGTGTAAAAGGTGTAAGATTTTTAATAAAGTATTTATATGGATTTTTTCATCTATTCTAATATAATTCTTCACACATACCTGTATATCTTCTTTTCATCGGAAAACTGTGGCATATCAATCCATTCTGCCAAACTGATGTTCCATAAGAATATGCTCAGTATACTTGATATTAACATTTTTAAGTTGAATAAAAAAATTTATTATTGTTCCGTCTTTACTGAAATGACGTAAATAATATTTTCACACAATAAAAACGGGAAATATCAGTTTATTTGTTGTGCAAATGTCGCGTTCAAGAAAATGCACGGATATCGTGTATTTGAATTATTACAGTGACTAACTGAGAACGTTCTCGGATACGTAGTGTGACACTCAGCAGGATGTTATTATTTCAAGCAGAAGTTCTGTTAGAATTAACGAGGACAAGACGAACAATGATATATTCTCTATAATGATGTCAATCGACGGATTTCCTTAAAACGTTGTGAAAGTTTTACATAATCTTTTTAAAATTTATAACGCTAAGTATCATTCATAATTTATTTATTCACATTATTATAAGTACAATAATGATTTAACATTTTAACATTTTTATGAAAATTTGTTAATTTCACTTAAAATCTATAATCTGTTATAATTTATTACTGCATTTCATTTAAGTACTTTTTATCTGGTAATTGTATAATTGCAAGTGATGTAAATAAATGGAACGCATTATTAGCTCTTATGGAACAGAATGCACGTGTAAACATTTTTAAACATTCTTGGAACAATAAAAATTTTTTTAAAATATATATGCAACAAATATCTAAGTAGTTAAATGACACATTAGACTCATCTTTTACAACAAATAGTGGGAAAACATAACATGAACCATATATCAAATTGTTACTGATATTACATTTGCATATATAAAACATTCTATGCATAATAATACCAATCTAAATTGCAGAAATTCTCCTACACATAATAAACATATAATTCTTGAAAAATGTTGCACTCATATCTATACTTATTATACCAAAATTATGCAAAAACTGTGTTCCATAAAATATTTTGCTATCATAAAAATAAGCATTACAATAAACGCAGTATACGCATCACATAGGTAAAAAAATTATTGTACAATGATTTTTTAATAACATAGGCCGTGTCATGCATGTACATACACTCTACATTACATTAATCAAATATATATGTACTCCAAAAAATACCTTGTAATAAAAAATGTAAATAAATTATATGTGAGATTCAGTAAATTAACCGGTGCACTTGTAAAATAATTTTACGTTAAAAAATGTTATCTTTCAAAAATAATCACCTTGTTAAAAAATATTTATTTACGATCGAATAAACGCATTATTTTTATTAAAATGCCAAATATCGCTATCCAAGAGCAACTCAGTCTTTGTAAGATCATTCATTACGTAGTTTCAAACTACATTTGTTTACATTTGAATTTTAAATTAGAGGTAAATTGTTTTCTCTTTCTCAAATATGAATTTTTTACTTCCTTACTAAGAATATACTTGATCCTATACCTATTCTCCATTATCTTTAGTAGTTAGAAATATTGCAAAACACTGCTTTAATAAAAAATATTAAAAACTATTATGTTAGTATTATAATTAATTTGTTATTAACTCCTTCAAGATGATTATGATAAACTAGTTGTACACTATGTGTTCTTGTTTTTGAATCTTAAATTTTCATATATGGAAAATATATCATCAAATTATAATGTACGTATATCTACCACATTTAATGTGTTTCATAAATAATGGAAGC